ACTCACTCATCGTGAACCCTCAATAAGACATCAAGAAAGATCCAGATTAGAAAGAAGACTTTATATTAATTTTAAGTTTGTAAAACTTTTGTATATAAATAATTGTTCATAATAACTATTTGTAATAACCTCTGTTGTAAATTGTATTATTGTTTGTATATTAAAATATATTTGTGTTTTTAAAAAAAAGAAAAACTGTATGCATCAATCTTGTTGGCAAATATAAATTGGATACATATCGGCATTTATTTAACTACTAAATCTAAATTACAATTTAACTCAGTTTTAGGCTATTTGAAACTGTAATGTGTAACACATCGAAAATTTTTTCTAAGTACCATTATGTCCACATGACCAAATGATTAATATTCCTTCTTGATACCTCGAATAAAGCAATCAAACAATCATTAAAGTTTCTGTACTGTCATGAAGTGTATGTGTGTGTATAAAGATGCTGAGTACATTATAATTTGGTAGCCTTACTACGTAGATACAGTCCTTGTTGCCATGTTTGATCATGATGTATCTGATGACCGTGCATCTTATCAAAAGCCTTGAAGCACATAGTTTCTATTCCAAAAGGCCCCATCGTGAGACTGTCATGTTGAAGCATACCCACGCTTCCCCATAGCTTTCCATAATCCATCTAGTGTACGAGAGCAATAGTTTCCCAGTACTTGTTTTAACACTCTGATCACACAGAAGTCCACAGGTGCTGTGTCCAAAGGCGTATGTTTGTGTATGAAATAACATGAATGCCTATTTCATTCTTTAGGTGATTGAGGTGTGTGATGGTTAAACTAATATATTTTGGAAATAACTTGTGAACACATGTTTTTTTATACTTTCCCTGGTGTAAATTTTTTATAGTATTGTATCCTGTTGCCTAAGGCAACGAATACCTTTTGCTACTAACCTTTATGTTTTAGGATTCTCACCTGTTACAAAATGCTACACTTTGCTTATCACTGTTGAGGTACGACTTGTTGCAGGTCTCTTTCTTAGAGATCCTGGTGCCTCAAGTTGATCCATATTATTTGGTTTTACAAAACCTTTAAGTATAAGGAATATCCAATTTTGAAAATTTTAAGTCCCCAATATAAACACATTTAGGTGATCTAAGTGTATGAATATTTTTGACGGAAAGAGCTGTTACATACTCTTCTCAAAAATGATACGTTTTCAGTGTAACCATACTACCTACAAGACGCCAAATAATATCAAAATGTAGATCTGATATGATCTGTTATACAGCGACCTTATATCAGCTGTGACTTGTCGACTTGCATATTCAAAATTATTTTTATAATTTACTCAACCTTCTGAATTGAAATAAGTTACCAAACACATCAAGTTCCAAGCTATCAGCTCCTCAGAACAGGAGTTATACAACTTGAATGATAAAATTATTTTAAAGACCTTACAAGTATTATCGCCAATGTGTTTTAAAAGCTCTTAAATTCACTCAAATGCAGCAAAGGACAATCAGAAAATAAAACTAAATGCTCTTTTTAGTTGCAGTATTTAATCTCCTAATTTATCAATAAATGAATTACACCTCATTTGACTAAACATGTTATTGTTTGCTATTGCTGAAAAGAGCTTTTCAATACTGTTTATCAAAATCGAGTTCTAATTAACAATTAGTCAAGAGGGGCTAAATAATCTCAAAGCATGTTCATCAGTGACAAACTATTGCTTCAAATGCTCTGTCTAATTTAATTAGTGTAGTCTAAGATGTGTCTGGACATCAGACAGAGATGGAGGTGAGCAGTTAGCTAGCACCCAGTGTTTTGGAGGCTAGTTCAGAAAAGCATGAACAATACATGAACGATATATTGAGTTAACTAATGTGTGTTGTAGCAACCAGTAGTTTAGTTGGCTTTACCTTGTATCAGGTACTGTGTGAAAAACCGTCACTCCAGTTAACACAAACTTTGTTCTGGCACATTGTGACAAGTTAGATGTGATTGTAGAGAAGCTTCATTTACTTCGCTTTAGTCATGTTTCTTGCTAAAAATATGTCTTCAATCTTGATTCGGGTATTGGTATCTTAGGGATAGGCAAACTGTGGAAATTATCATCTAGTTTTGTTTGTGCAACAGCTGAATTACAGCTCTGTGGTAACTATCCACTGTAATGATAAAAAGGTTTATATTATGCCTTCATAACTCCTAAAATGTTACACAAATGGTTTGCTGCTGAAATTAGCTCCCTCATTCAAGTGTGTCTCTTCCAGTGTTCTAAGCCATGTTATCCTACGCTTCACTAACACATCAGCTATGGATTGTGCCTAAGCATTAACCAATGGCTAAGCCTCAGCCCATTTTGTGAAGCAGTTGATGGTGACAAGTATGTACCAATAACCACATTTTGTCTCTATGAGTGAACCAATAATATCTAACAATTTTTTGTTGGAGTTTACCTCTCTTGGCTTACTTTTTTTCTATGGGTGGCACACATTGTAGTTTTCACACTAGTGTCGAATATCTCAATTGTGGCCAGTAGAGCTGTAAATGAATGTTAGCACAAGTGTGGGTGACATCTTGGTGACCTACAATCGTTTTGTTATTCAGTGTCTGGAAAATATTTTACCTTGGAGCTCCATGAACAACTAGCTGCAACACAGTCCGAAAGCCATGGTTTGGTGGTTGATAACATTGATAAATAAAATATTGCACTTGCAACTGACCATACCAATGCCACAAGTTATACATGTCCATGTTACTTTCCTCTACTTGTGCTGGCCGAACATCACCTTGTTCCATGACAAGGAGCATCCATGCTAAATCTGAGTCCTTCATTTGCTCTTCCCACAGCTCCCAAAATGTTATTCATGTCATCTATTGACTAGTATAAATTGATAATCATATAGCAGAAATAGTTTCAACTCCAACATGGCGTTCGGAATTAGGACATTCGATGAATGGAACGGATTTCAAATTTCCATGCACAAAGACATATTCTTGCAATCTACTATCATCCCTACTGGATTTTTGAAACTCATTAACCATTTCAGCAAAGCATAGTCGACTTGGGTAGTAAACTTCCTACTGTGTAAGTAATGTTGATAGTGCTTTACAAAGACGACAACTTCAAGGAGTTTTTTCTTTATTGTACAGTATCCGTGTTCAGGAGCCATGAGCTTATGACTAGTATATGCAATTGTATGTTTTACTCCATCCTGCAACTGGGATAACACTGCTACAATTCTACTATCATAGGAACTCACTTCCTTGTTGTGGATATGCTAGCACCGAAGCTCCCACTAAAGTAAGCTTTAGGGATCCGAAATCCTGTTTACATTCCTCACTCCATCCAAAGTGCATCTCAATTTTAGTAAAATCTGACGATGGGGCTGCTATATTGCAACAGACTATGGTTAATATTATTCAA